GCAGCAAAGCTGGCATCCAAGTTAGTTTTTACTTAATACTACGGCATTTTAGAAAGTAATAAGAAGAAATAAATAAGGTTTATTCTGTGCAATAGAGAAATTGAGATGATTCATACAGTATTAAATTAATGGTTTTCATTATACAAAGAGATCTAAAATTTACAGCCAAAGAATAAAGAACAAGCAAACTCCCACAAATGTTTAATTGTGCTTAAAACATCACAGAATAATCCATTTTGTACCACTGAAACTTCCTATCAAATTTACTTTCATGACCCAAGCTTGGCAAGCCAATTTTTTTCCAAATCACTGAGCCTAGAAAAGAGCTAATTAGCTCTTTTTTTTCTATTATTTCCTGCAGGTCCAGATTATAAAGAATAGCATATAATATGAGAAAAACATACAATATGATAAGACCTTTTCCTTTATCTCATTTAAGAAAATCAAATCTCTTTAAAAAAAAATCAAGAATGACTCCTCACAAGACGATATTTTCTCAAACTCTTGAGTTGAAAGGCATAGAAGTTTTGCAGAATGTCAATAATATCAAAAGATTTAAATACATGGATAAAAATAATTAATGTGTTAGTAAGACAAACCAGGGATTTTACCAATTCCAAAAATGAAATATGTCTTTGGCAGATGATTAGAAACATTACATCTGAAGTAGCTTTATGAATACTGGTCACTTCAGTGAGGTCCCCTCATTCTGTTTGAAGGTACTTAGAGATTTTTGGAGCAAGTCCAATTAACAATGCTAGTAATGAAATAGAAGTGCATTGAAGGTACCTTCAAGGTCCATCTATATAATGTAAAAAAAAAACAAAAAGAAGAAGAAGAAAGCTTTCTTGTGCTGTTGAGCCTATAATTAAATTAAGTAATTTGCTTGGGAAATAGTCACCAGGGACATCTGTAGGCATCAATACCCTTCCCTTGGGCATATCTGAAACTCCTGACAGTGCTGAAAAGTTAGGTGCTCAACTCRTATTGAAATGTCAAAATCATAATAATTACATTTAACATTTTATCAGTCTCTGAGCTGCCTTATCTGGAAAGCCATTTCGGAGCCTATCTGCTGAACTATATTCCCTTTAAGCTAAATGATATGCTGATAAGTGCATTATTATAAACTTGCACAGCTCATTCGCTTTCAGTGGATTTTTTCTATCTTTTTCAATATTTAGTGGAGAGACTAAGCCTCCCTGTCATCTACTTATACTGTAGGGCAAGCAGGCCGGTAAGCTTGATTTTGATGTGCTTCCTGGGCCAGGAGAGGATGCATCTACATGCAAATATACATGGCTATCCTGTGGCCCAATGATGATAATATTTTCTTAGCCAAGATAACACCACAAAACTGAAGAAACTTGTACCAAACCAAAACGCTTTTGAKAAAGCCAGGTCTTCCAGCCTACTCTTCCAGGTATTGGCTGGGAGGAGGAGGTTTTTCCATGTATTTGCCTGTCTGCTTCATTTTAGAGGGTGTTCAAGTATATATACCCCAATCAAGTATATACACCCCAATCAGAAAGAAAAGCCTTTGCCTCACTTATGCAAAGTTTGCCTCACTTAGGCAAACCGGCCACTCAAAAATCTATGGGCCCAGATGGCATGCACCCGAGAGTGCTGAGGGAACTGGCCGAGGTTATTGCTCAGCCTCCCTCCATCATCTTTGAGAGATCCTGGAGAGCAGGGGAGGTGCCCGAGGACTGGAAGAGAGCCAACGTCACTCCAGTCTTCAGAGAGGGCAAGAGGG